ATTACCAAGCACTCAGGATGATAAACATTGATCATAGCTTTGATGTCAAGGAAATTTCGGTGGAAACTGCAACAGTTCCATGAGACGAGGGTGGCCATTATGATTGATGTTTGTTCTTTCGGTGTTGTTTTTTTAGTTTTGCGCGGAAGCAGATGTTTGGGAACTTCCAGTCCTTCCTCCACTTCCATACTATCTGAATCTAGAGATTTAGAAATCATTCCATCTACAGAACTATTACTGCAGCTTCTATTTTTGTTAATTGCTTTTGGAGAGACATTTTTTGGTTTGCTTTGAATAACTATTTTCTTTATTTTGTATGACCTGTTTTGGATTTTCCTTTTTCTTGCTTGCAAACTGCTGGGTTTTATTTTGTGGAGTCTGTGTACTTATTGAAGTTTGGGTGGCAATGGTACATGTTGCTTTAACGGCACGCCATATGATTTGTTTGATTGATGCTGTGTGCTTTGCACTAATCTTCTGGCTTCATATATGAGATGTTCCAAGTGACTTGTACCGTCTGTACTTAATTTTCTGTTTTCATTTTGGGCATGATTGGGAAGATGATGGATAGTCACCCTAACAATTTATACACAGTGCTGCAGCGGTGCAATTATCGCTATCGTGGTCAACCGACGAACATCGAGCACGTCAGGTTCTCACGACATGACATCTTGGAATGGCCGAGACACTGGCACTGGAAGCATCACATAGGATTTGGAATATAAAATCTTATGGGGCAATTAAGATATCCAGCCTTAATATTCTTTGGCAGATCAGGCGACTTGACGGTCAAGATAACGTGTTTCGTGTCAATCAACTGACCTTCCTTATGCATCTTGATCTCCTTTGCAGCACAAACCTTTTGGTCAGCTAACTCGGAAACAAACTCTTCTTCAGGAACAGACAGAAGGTTGACTTCCAAGATTACACCATGACAATAATTCAGTGTCTTATGTTACAGTGGCATTTGCTTTCCCAAGTTTGGTTATTTGAAGTAAGGAAGCAGACTGGGTGGCTGAAAGTTGTATCAATAAGCAAGTCTCCAGAGCAGAGCTGCTTAATATTTCTGGGCTCACCAATACAAGAATAGATGTATTTATTTATCACAAAAGGAGACATCTTTTGCAGCTTGCCAGAAGGACTAGAGACGACAAGGAAATGGGGACTATTATTAGGATTATTTGCATTTGCATCTATACATACGTTTTTAGCAGATTTTTTTCAGAAGAACTAGTGCTTAGAGTGACAGGACTGACTTCAAAGTCTTTAATTAAATGTATTTTTGAATTAGCCATATTGAAGAGAGAAATGATTCGGACCCGGCAGCCCCACCCACCATGAAGTCGAACAAGGGTGCACAGAAATCTGCGCCAGGGTTAACCAGGTTTATACGCAATTAGAAGCCCCACAGTCAGCTCTGCCGAAAGAAGGAACTCCCGAAAGTTTATCCCCAAGATACTGTCTTTAAAGACAAGTGATCAGCCAATTGAGATAGTGGGGACAACTAAGTGCCTCCTGTTTCAATCTGAAGCAGAGGCCAAAGCAGTGAGTTGGGGACAGTACCTCACCCCTCAACTACCACAACCCTCCTTTCCAGCTCTACGGGTCTCCATGCTCAGCAAACACGTGGGCAGTTTTCTCGGCACGCAAAAACTAGAGACAAGGGTTGTTCCAGTTTCTCGTGATAAGCCCAAACTTCTGAAGAGGAAAACCACAAAGGAGATTGGAAGGAAAAAAGTGACAGGTCAGAGGAGAGGAGACGGAAGTGAGGATAGAGCAGTGAGGCTTTAGGATCGTGACACCCGTCTCACCAAGAAGATGATCCCCTGAAGGGCTAGGGTACCTAGGGATTCCCCACTCGTACTCACAAAAGTGAGCCCCTGAGGGGAAATCAATTAACGGAACAGACAATATCTATAGTATGGTTTTAATTGCAGGAAATACTGCCCCTGCAGTTTCAAGTCGCATTTTAATTTAACAAGGTGAAGTTTCAGAAAAAAACTTGCTGCATGCAAAATACTTGGTTTAAAAAATATTAAAAAGAGTATTTTTAATTTTAAAATTTTCACATGTCATTTTACTACATTTAAACTCATGATCTAAATTCCAGAATCAATGATTCCACAGTTCGGACTTTATACTACCAAAAAATATTACATAAATATGAATAGTTGTAGCAGTTGGATATAGTAACAAGTTGCAATTATTTTTGCCAAACTGTGATTCATTTTGACTAATGCAGCAGGTTAAGGTACATTAGAACTTCTTTTATTTTCTTAATACATCTCATCTAAGTTCACACATTCAGTGCAAAATGAGCATCTGAAATGTTCATCACACAAAACTGTAGTGAGAAGAAGCAAACCTATACCTGCACTACGGTAGAAAAAAAAGCCAATTTTTTTTCCCCTGCATTTTTTTAAGTTGTTTTAGTTTTGCAATTTTTTAATTCTATGTGATTAAAATAAGTTGTAAGGGTTGATTCTTCCCACTTGTTTGAAAAGACACATAATTCTTTTCTCTTCTTTAAATGTAAGCATCATACTGGTGTCTTAAAAATTGGTCTAACTTAAAATAATGGCAGTTTTCCCTTTAGTTAAATTTTTTAAGATTTTGCAATATGATTCACCATATTGCATAAAGCTAAAAACATAAAACAATATATGAATATAATGGGGCCAACAAGCAGCTAATACAGATCATGAATGCTAACAATGTAAAAAACAAAACCAAGCAATGAAAGACGATAATCAAGATAAATCTCACAGACCTAGAAATTTTAGACATTTTCTGTAAGATAAAGAAAAAGAATTTTAAGCACTAGCTATTAAATTTAAAATGTAACCCAAGTAAATAAAATTAAATAGGTTTTCCCCTTCCCATTCTTGCATATCATTTTCATTTATAAGATTACATGAATAAAATCTGATGATTATATGTCCATAGCCTATAAGATTACCAAGCATACATCGCAGTATGTCACATGTGTCATTGTATTTGTTGCTGGTACAGACCATAACTTTAAATTACTTAGGATTTGATAAATATTAACAAAGGACTTGTTAGAAGTGTTACAAATTAGAGAAACACTAACAGTGAAAGACACACCATTACTTTCTGAATTATAATGAAATGAGTTAAGTATTAGTGTGTTCAGGTATTTTAATGACTTTATACAGGAAATTTACCACAGGATTGTGTCTTGCTGTTTGTATGCCATGCATTTAAGAAATATCAAGCTGGTTAAGGACTGCTATATGTTGGTGATTCTGAATCATGCTAAGACTATTAATGATCTAATTTCTATTTTTTTTTTATGCTGAACCATGTAATTATCTGACAGATAAGTAAACAAAAAATGAACAACAGTGATGATTAGCTATTTGAATACAGTACAGTACTTGAGGACTAACTTCCTAAGAAAGGAAATGGCTTCTGAAAGATTCTGTGAGAACATACTGTAAAAATTACATATCCCTATACAGTCAGCCAAAGCCCCTACAAATACTGAATTCAGAAATACTACTATTCTATGCCTTTACTTTCTCAAACATTACTGTACCATTATAACAAAGCTGTTCTATAATATAAATATATTACAAAGCAATTTATCGATAAATTAAAAATTCAGACTATTGCTTAAAAAAAGGGGGGAACTGCTTTAGACATTTATGATATTTTTGGTGGAGTAGAAATCTTTAACAACACTATTATGCTTGGTCTTTGAAGTAACTTGAAAAAAATTAGCCTGTTCATGTGAAGAACTTACTTAACCCCTTTGCGCCGACTGTCACGTATATGTGCCAGCAACGAACACACTTATCTACCGGCTGACACGCAGGCATGCCAGAGCATTGTTGCGTTTACTACCGACTGTCACGTATTTGTGCCAGTACTTTGGAACGTTTTTCAAACTATAATTTCTGCCACAAGATGGCACTGTATGTCCATATGGTTTCAGATACATGTACATTAGACCTTCTACTCGAAATGAGAGAAGCATGACTCACATACACGTGTTTTTGATTATATAAACAAACGGGGAACTAAATGTTTCCGAATGGCGTGATTTATGACGTCTCTTTAAATCGCACTTTATTCGCAGCACGTGGTAGTTGTTTATTGTAAGTAGAAGTTTTATATGCGCTAAAGCGTTGAGTATTTCGGTTTACAGTTCAGTTTTTAGAAAATAATTAGATCTTGTTAGACATGAATTCTTTCTGTTTTTCCGTTTCAATGTCGAAGCGTCGAAAATGTTTAACAGAGCATGAAATAGCAGAAATGATGCAAAATATTTCAGATATTGATTCTGAAATTCTGATATTCTGATATTGATTCTGAAAGATTAACTGAAAGACATTTTCCAAAACTTTGTTCAGAAGAGACTAATAAGAAAATGAGACGACGATGCTTCGTTTGTTCACATTCCCGGAAAAATCCTCCAAAACGGCAAATGAGTTATTACGAATTCAAGGAATGTAACGTAGGACTGTGTGTAGATCCCTGTTTTAAAATTTTTCATACGAAAAGAGAATTTTAAGTAATATATTTAGTTTTCAGATGTATAATGTTAAAAGTCATAAAATGGTGAGTAATTAAAATAAAATGTGTAAAATATGCATTTAAACAAGAAATAAGGTAATTAAAGTATATATATAAAAATATCTATAAAGCATAAGCTGTTTAAATACTCTATAGAGCATTATTAAACAATGCGTTGATACTTCGGAAATTTCATGGATTTAGGCTTAGTAGCAAAAAAAGCCCCCGGCCCTGGAGAGACGCTCGCGGAAGACACTGCCAGCCTCCGCGATAAGCGCGCGTTTTCGCTACACAGCTGGAAGGGGTTAAATGTTCAAATCATAAATGTAAATTTATTTAAACAAAAGACACAATTTTTTAATACACATAAAGCCATAATAAAATGTAATATTAATTTCTGATGCATACATAAACATACATATTTATGCAATAATGGGAAAAATTAATATATTACATACCTGTTTCTTAGACGAAGTATAAGATGACCATGGATGTTTAAGCCACACTTTTGCATCTGTCACCATATCCGTAAGAGTGCGAAATCGACGCAACTAAAAAAAATACTTTGAAATACATATTAATTTGAACATGCATGCATAATATTACATTTATTCTCGAATATTAAATAAAGATGATCCTGCATGTATGTATGTTCCTCCTCCTATAGTGAAAAAATGATGATATTGAACACACATAAACATAGTCCTGTACCCAAACATGTGCACCTCAAAGCCCCGTTTTTTTTTTTTTTTTTAATTTCAAATGTATTTCTTATTTATTTCATATTTTCTGAAAATTTAACGACATGTTGATTAACAAAATCAAGGATCTAAAAGCAATGTATCATCACTTTACTATGAATAAAATATGTATATTTCAAATTTAATCAAAAGACTCGACTATTTAAAGGAAATATGTTGCCACTCAGCAAAGCATAAGATATTTATGTTTAAAATTTAATCAGAAATTTTCTGCGAATTTAATGATATTTTGATTAACTAAATCAAGGATTTAAAAGCAATGTACCATCACTCCACAAAGAATAAAGCATGTGCATTTAAAATTTAATCAGAAGACTGTGATTTAAAGGAAATATGTTGCCACTCAGCAATACATGAGATATTTATGTTTAAAATTTAATCAGCAAACTCAGCAAGACAGAAAATTAGCAGTCACTTCCCAAAATAAAATATTGCTATCTTTCTTCCATGCATTAGAGTATTGTCATGCAGAAAAATGTAGTATATTTAAATTTATTTCAGATGTAATCAGTCTGCTATTGAGAAGCAATAAATGCAGTTCTTCATCTGTATTAATTACAAGCCAAGCTGGTGAGGTTACACTATATGAATACATTCGAACCATTATAACACTTTTTTTTTTCTTTTCTTTTTTATAACTATTTTAATTTTTAAAAATGTAACACCTTAAAACTTTCGATAGTCACCTTTTGATACAATATACCTGTAACAGAAAGTTATGTTTTCAAAATACTGTTAAAATTTTGTTGGATTAGTATTTTAAGCCCAAATTAAGAAAAAAATAATCTGCTCTGAAGTATGCTTAAGGGAAAATATTTTTCAAGATATTTGTATGGGAAAGAGAAAATATAATTTCTTCCTTTCTCTCACTAATAAACAGGTTAAATGAAGCTTAACCTTTTCCATTTTTAAAGATCTTAATATGCTTTAAATACAGTTCACTATAAATTTCCCCTACGTTTTTCTTATGTTATTTTAATTTTATTCCTTTATGTAGTTAATTTATCTCAGAACTTGTTCTTCTTCCTTAAAGAGAGAGAAAATGTGAAGTATTTTGACATATCCAACATATACGTTATGTATTCAAAAATACATATTTCATATACACTTAATCAACATATTCAAAAATGGTAAAAAAGATGCTGTATTACCTACAAAATGTTAAAAAGATGGCAAAACATCAAAATTTCAGTCAAAAAATTGCATTTCTCTACACATCTGCCGAAAGTTTTACCGAAAGTAAAATTTAGTACAGAAGGCAAATGTTTATATAAAGTAAATACACAAAGTATATTTTGCTTTTAAATATTATGGCTGAAGTTTTCTAATAACAACAGCATGCACATGTGTTAACTTCATTAATTTGCTGGGAAACTGTCAGTGCCACTTTCAGACATTTGTCTACAATGCATAAAAAAAATCAAATTCGAAGGCACAAACAAAATTTGATCTGTTATGTATTTTTTGAATGCAAGGAACATTAAAATCACTTGGGATATATGGTAAATTACTGAAGTTTATAAAGAAATGCAAAGAGTGATTGAATGATAGTAAAACACACATTATTTGAATGGAATGGATGACCATCTTTGGTGACTGAAAATGTGGTGTATTCAGTTGAGAGAGGATTCAGCAGAATAGGCGATTCAATAAGATGTCAACTCTTCACATATTTTCCAGAAGTTCATACTCCCTTCTTCATGAAATTACGTCACAGAAATTTAATTTCAAAACAGTATGCAAACAGTATGCTTATAGAACAGTGCAAAATGAAATGACTAGGCAGTACATTAGATTTCTGACTTACCGCCATAAAGAAGGCAGTGATTTTCTGAACAATACTGTTACTGGGAACAATTTTTGGTTGTTGCATGCAATCTCTGAAACCAAACAACAATCCATGAAGCACACATCATTACCAGTAGAGATGATAATGTTTTATATTCAGAAAATCATGTGAACTGTGCTTTGGACAAAGAAACATTTTCTTTCTTATGTTTATCAGCACTTTCCCATAACTAATAAGAAAACATATTCTATTCTAAACCCTTGAGAAACTGCACTATAACACCCAAAAAAATTTATCTGACATTTTTAACATAGTACATAGCTGTAGTCCATGATAACGTTTTTCCAGCACCTTTAACTGAGAACAATCCAATCAATCCCCTTAGAATCCAAACCTTGTAATAAGAAGCCTTCATCGATTCAAACACCAGAAATCTTTTTTGCTGACTGCCAGTTTAAAGATGAGAACAAGTTCAGAGAAACAGTCAAATGGTCAACAAGTGACTTTCATCACAGATGACAACCTTTACAAGACACTTATATAACTGTTACAATCATTCTTGTTTTCTTTTATGAATAAGAATGGTGTAGAAAAGTAGTGTTACAGTGTCTAATTTAATTAGTAACTGAAACTTTTCTCATAAATATACATTTGATTTTTGGACCATCCACGAGAACTCATTTTCTGTTTACCTAAATTACTAACAAAAAAAGAGGAAAGAGCCTATTTATTATTAAAAATGAAGAGAAAAAAATGTCAATGCAAAGAAAATTTTAGAAAGAGGTTAACGATTGTCCCAGGATTCACTTACAGTGGGAAATTAAAAATAAGACGAGCGAAAAAAATGTTAAAATCAACTCAATGTTATATCAAGAGAAAGTTTTAGGTCTGATATTTACAGAAGGAATTCCATTTCTTTATAGTAATTACTTACAGAGAGAGAAATTTTATCAAGACAAACCAACAAATCATACTTTGGAAAGCACCAATGCAGTATTTGAAAAAAGACTGAGAGAGGTATTGGATGCATACCTTTTCAACATATTTCTAAGAAGTCTCCTGACATTTCACTTATGAACTATTGTGCCTTTTGTCTCTTAAAAAGAGCTCTTTTAAGCACAAAACCATCACAATTGATGGACTTTGGAAAGGAGTGGAAATTGATATCCCTGCAAATTTAACGAAAGACCTTTCTGTCATGGAAATCATAATGCAGACTTATAGTACATAAAAAAGGTTATCAGATCAACCATTTAAAATAATATGCTTTACATTTTAAGCATTAATTAAACAACTCTGAAATCATTCTAAAAATGTGTAAACACCCTTTTTATTAATTACTAGTTGGACTTGTGAAATTATATTAGGTGCATTCATAAAATCATTACATGCATTTTCTTTTTTATAATAATTATTTTATGTGGCTAGCTGTGCCAACAGAATATGTTACTTGATTAATCTAGCCCAGCAGTTCTCAACCTTTTGACTGACGCATACCATCTAAACAAAAATTGAAAACTTTTAGTATCACCACTCTTGTACAAAGCTCAGATCGCATACATTTAGGAGTGTTAGAGAAAAAATTCAATCAGGATGTTGGGGTTTTAATTTTTGAATTTAATAGTTAAAAATACTTTGCTTCTTTTTCTCTTGCATACCACAAGTGGTATGCATATCTCCAGTTGAGAACCCCTGATCTAGCCTCAGAAAACCTGTCATTACTCTACTGCAATAAATTTCATATAATCTAGTGATATTTTACTGCAATAAATTTCATATAAGCTAGTGATATTTTAAGTAGTGACCATTTTTCTGAAGACAAATGTTAAGTCATAGAACTTAAATCATTACTTAATATATAAATTCTCTTTCAGTTTTCATCCTAGATACATGGATATCAGAACCAGAAAGTGTAATGCTAGTTCATCATCTTGATGGGAGTGAGGATTACGAAAATAACAGATTTTAATCAATCTGATAAGCTACAAGGATTATGTAACCATCTGAGAGATAAAGAAAAATTTCACTATAAATAAATGCATGTGTAACTCTCTGGCACGATAAAATTAAATTCATTATAGAAATTATCTGGCAAATTAAATGCACAGAAGTATCACTCAATAAAATGATATATCAGTTTATTGAAGGGGGAAAAACATTCTTCAATTTCTTCCCATTTTTTACAACACAAACGCAATTTTTCATTCTATTCATTTCAACCTAAATAACAAAAGTTTTATTGAAAATGTGGTTATTCTGTATAATTACAATTAATATAGACGATTTAAATACATGTCTTCCTTCTTCATACTTACAAAGAGGAGGAGCAGATATTCTAGTAAATTTCTAGTCAGTATGTATGATATACAGTATTCGCTGCTTATTAAACTCACTGGTTAATCAACTCATCTGTTTATTATGGTCAAATTTTGAGAAACCCAAATAAATATACCACTGAATGCTTGCTAAGAATAGACAACACTATCATCTGCAGCAAACACAAAATGAAAGGCAGCAAATTTTGGAAATTTAGAATAAGTGCAGGGTACAGTAAAAACATAAGTGGGAAAGCATATTTTTATTTCCTCACCCATTCATCATGTGGTAGCATAGCATTCATAAATGATTTGGCACATGCAGGTAATTGTTTAATCGATCAAACGAAGGCAAAAAATAAGAGATGTATCCAGTGAGTTTAATATCACTCACAACTTTGTTTCACAGCTGTGGAAACCATTTAAAACAATTAGAACTTGTAGCTAATGTCATAGGAGAGGTTGTATTAGATGTATGACTCCTGCAGGAAACAGACAAGGGGGAAAAAATTACACCACAACTCAGCAGATTTTAATCTGAATAGCAACTGTCCATCATTCAATCAACAGAAAAATCACTGTTTATTAAACTCATCTCAGCTGCTTACTAAACTCAGATTGGCATATGACTAATCCTTCAGAGCCAGGATAGCATATTTGTACATATCAGAGCTTATCGTAGTTTATCCATTTAGCATAATGTGGATGTGGCTTTATCATTAAAGTATGCGGTGCTTCCACAAAACAGATTTGACCAGAATTTTCCTACTCTTGGTCTCTATAAGAAACTGTTTTTACAGCTCTTTGCTTGCACAAGTTTTCAGAGCAGAAAAATTTCTTTATCTGAAGATTAGCAAAGACAATGGGAGAAGATTCTCTCTTGAAAACCTGCCAGTAAGAGGTGCAAGTGCGACTTCTATAACCCATCTTTTAAAGTTTCCCCCTTCCAAATCATCTGCTTGGGATAGGTATATTATTATCAGAGTTACAAAAAAGTTCATGAAATACTTAAAGGATTACCGTACATTAAGTCTTTGAATGTGATAACTGTAGGCTGAAGGAAAAGCAATCAAAGCATTAGTCAGGCTTGTAATCAGGAAGTGGCAAATTAATTAAAGAGCAATTTTTCTGTTAGCTAGAAATGTAAATTTTGAAATTTGAGTAAATTACTGGATAAAAAGTTTTTTTTGGGGGGGGATGCTTTATTTGAAACTTCTAAAAATGCCAAGTAAAAAGACTTGATCATTAATTGCTTAAAAGCTAAAAGATTCTTATTGTCTTGGTAACTGAAAAAAAAAAAAAAGAAAAGAAAAGAAAAGAAAATTACATTTAAACTGGGAATTTCCCAAACAGCATTGTGCAGTTTAACACAGAATCATAATTAATGAAAGACTAATAAAAAAAGCAAATGTCTCAAGGGAGCACAAAAGAGATAGAAGATGAGAGAAGCTGAAATTGCTTTTAAAGAATAGTTTCAAACTATGAAACTAAAAAATATTTCTATTTTTAGAGATTTTAGCACTCATTTTCTGAATGGTAGGAGAGAATTTTATAGCAACTGGATGGATAGCTTCTCTTGCTTGGCAGTCTTTTCATGCTGCACAATTTATGCTTGGTGATTTCTTTTTCTAGCAGCTGCCATGAGTCTCACACAATTTTATAACCTTTTTTTAAATAATGACATGAACTTATGTTGATAATATAACTTACTTTGGTTACAATTTGCATCCATTTATCTTTACATTGAGCAGCTGTGTATTGTCCGAATCTCACTTTCTCCCAATCCAGTTTGTCAATCAGAGTAGTATATTTCACATTGTCATTACGAGGTAAACATGCAGACAAGTTTGTAACCAGCTGTGTCAACTCCTCTGCAGTCCAGTTAAAAACCAGAACTAAAAATTTATAGTAATTTATTTAATTCAAGAGATCAAACAGTTAGTAAAGCACACCAAGACATTTTTAATTTTTATATGTATAATTGTTTACAGAAAGGCTGAACTTTTATAGAATTTATGATTCTTATGAATAACATAGGAAAAAATATGTTAATATGTACGAAGGTTGGAACTTTAATAGTGGCAACTATTTATTTACAAGGAATACAAAAGTGATTCATGTCACCATGCTTTACAGTCCTTCAATAGTCACCAGCATTGTGTATAACCCGTTTCCAACAATGTGGAAGTCACAGAATACCTGTAGCAGTGCCTGTTTTGTTGATAGTTTGAATGGACCAGTCTACTGTAGCAAGAATCTCAGGAACAGTTTGGAAGCGAGTGTCACGAAGTAGTTCCTTCATCTCAGGAATTAAGTCATAGTCACAAGGGCTTAGATCTGAGGAGTATGGTGGATGGTAAAGCACTTCCCAGCCTCATCGCTTGAACAAATCAATCACAGCTTGCGGCCGAGCATTGTCATGCAAAATGAGAGGAGTGTTCTGCAGAAAGTGTCACCGTTTTTTTCTCAGAGCTGGTCGGAGATAGTGCTCCAAAAATGAGCAGTAATACTGTGCAGTGACGGTCTGCTGTGTAACGGTATGCGTTAGGATGACACCATCACGGTCGTACACGAGAATCACCATAACTTTCACATTGGGGTTCTGACGAAATTTCGAACGTCATGGTGACCCGTGATGACGCCATTCGTTTGATTGGCATTTCAGTTCTGGCTGGTACGATCGGGCCCAAGTCTCATCCAGCGTAATAATACGGCGTAAAAAAGCATCTCCTTCACGCTCATAGCGCTCTACGTGGGTTCGGGCAGCATCGTAACGTAGCCATTTCTGCATTTCCGTCAATTGATGTGGAACTCATCGTGAAGCAATTTTTCTCATGGACAGGCATTCCTTCAGAATGTGCAGCACAGTCGTATGCGCTAATCCTGTTTGTCCGGCCAGCTGACGAATCGTTTGGCGGCGACCACTGTCCATTAGTGCGGCAACAGCTTGCACGTCTGCATCGCTGACACTCTAACAACCTGGCCGCAGCATGTCTGCCACGTTTTGGCATCCTTCATTGAATGCTTTCGCCCATCTTGCTACGGTTCTGTAAGGCAATGCAGATTCCCCGCGAGCCTCTTGAAGCCCTTGATGACACTGTCGTGCTGTACGACCTCTGGCACATTCAATTTTTATCCAACATCGTTGTTTTTGTTTTGAAAACATCCTGACAACACTTACTTTAGACCACGTGCTAATACAAGGATCCATTCTTTGCGTCACTTCGCATGCGCGTGATGTAAGCAGGACGAGTCTTTTTGCTGAGAGGTAAGGTAGGTATGTTGTTCACGTGTGGTATACGTGATATTCTTTGTTTTTCTTGCATAGCGTTTTTTCTGCTGTGTTGCCACTATTAAAGTTCCAACCCTCATATATTATTGTATTTTTATACATAAATCAAAATTAAATTCAACTGAATCACAAATAATAATATAAAGGCGATAAACCAGTTATCAGCAGTAAAAGTAATGTTGTTTCACCAAACATTAGTTAATTTAATTTTAAGCCTCTATATCTTTAAAAATTTAATTAGCTGAGAAAAAAAGGGAATATTGTATTCTAAAGTCAAGAATTAAATAAATATACTTCAAATATCGGCAAGAAAGTAGTAAGTTTCCAAATTAGTATGTAAGTTTCCAAATTTAATCTCATATGAATTAAACTGGCAGACAGAAATCTTTCAAATAGAAACAAGATTAAGATTCTTGCCGATATCATTATCAAAAACTATCTTCATCCACCAATCCACTCCTCCACACGCAGTGCAAAAGTATTTACTGTGCTACATCAGTTTAGCAATGTGATACTTAAAAAATATTTACTTATCTTTTCACAGTCTTGCATCTTGTTCATAGGAATCTTGTGGGGATTTCAAACTTTTAAATGAAAATCACTTTTATGAAGGGGAGTAAAAATATTCATTCATCATGTCATATATGGTTTGTCATAAGTTTTTTACAGCTGTTTATTTGCACAAAAATTCTTTCAGAACATCATGTGTAACAAAATTATAAAGAATGTTGCACATTAGTAAATAGCCTCTCCTTCAAAGGGGGGGGAAGAAATTTCAAATTATTTAATTAATTTTTCCATTGACCCTCAAAGAAAACACAATTGCAAAAACTGCAAATTTTGAAATTAAATATCTAGACCAACGGTTATCAACCTTTTGACTCATGCATACAATTTTAAAAAAATCGAAACCACCACTACAATTTACAACGATTATATTTTAATTTCTGAATAGAAATATTAAATATATATATATATATATTGGCATTTGCACAACCTATTGGCTATTTGTATTAATTATGCACACATAAAATATTAGATTAAAAATTGGTTACCATTTTAATTATCAAAATTTAAGTTATATTACTTTAATTTTGAAATTTAGTGTGTGTCTGGTCTTATTTCAACTAGTTTTAACCTTAAATCAGGACCCACTTTTAATTTTGTTCGGTCTTTATTTTTCAAACATGGAAGAAATTCCTTGTTCACACAAACAGGTTGAGCAGAAAGGTAATAAAAATTTTATAGCTTTATTTGAAATGCCTTTAAACTCTTCCCCTCCCCGGTTCAGTCAAAAGTTAACAAGTGTGTTATTTTTTAAATCTTTAGTTATCAATCATAGGAAATGCCTAATAATTTTTCATTTTCTTCACAAGATAAGATTTCAGGTACATTTGAATAAAATGGTTTCCTAATCCAATTTTCTTTTTTGTAATCTTTGGGAAAATACATGATACAAATTTGTTGAAATTTTTTATCAATGGAAAACAAGGATTGCTAATGTTGGATGCCAATTTTATTTTCAAATTAGTTTCAGTTAGGAGAACTTTCTAAAAATGGTAAAAAGCATAAAAAATTATTATCCAATTCTTTGATTATTAGCTCGAGGTTTTTTTTTTTTTTTTTTTTTTTTTTTTTAAATCAATGCATTTATTTTATCTCTAATGATAAACAAATTAACACTTTATCCTTGTAATTCTAAATTTAATTCATTTAACTTTTCAAAAATATCAGCTAAATATCCTAAACGTGGCAACCATAATTCACTAAATAAAAAAAAAATTGCAATTAAAATTTTTAATGAGAGAGGAAAATTTGAATTTCTGATCGAAGTCCAAAAAGACAATTTAAAATCTTGCCTCTGGATAACCACTTTACTTTGGAATATAACAAAAAGCGTTTCCTGGTCACTACCCATTTCTTTGCATTAAGTCATACATATTCTTGAATTTAAATGCCGGCTTTTTAAAATTAACAATTTTCATAGCTTGATTCAAAGAACTTTCAGGTTTTCAGGGATTTTGGGCTGTTAAAAGCTTCACCATCAATGGAACAGTGAGTAAATTTAGTTTCAGGTGCAACTTTCTTTCTTTGAGAATTAACACAGGAATACTTTCCTGTTAAAGCCCAAGCTCCATAACTGCATACAACAATACACTTATTCCAAGGAGTATCATTCTCAATCTCTCAATCAATGTCAATTACTTTGAAAATTTCATTTGAAGTTGCTCTATCATGAAGAAATTCACAAAATAAATACTCTTCAGCAATGTGTTTATCTTCTTCGAAACATACGTAAACTAATAATTGAACAAAGAATATGTTAAAATAATATCTTTAGCTGCTAGTAACGTAAGGTTTTCTCAAATAGTGTGAGCCTGCCCAGGCTTGGCAATTTTCAGGCTTATTAGGTAATTAGTTTCCAAAGTTTTTTTTTCCTTTTTCATTACTTGTTTACTATTTTTGAACTCTGAATGCTTAAATTCAAGATGTATTTTAAGAAATGGTGATTTTATACTTTGATTAGATAACAGTTCAATGATTCAATTGAGGTTGAGGGTCCATTTCATCTCCATTTCTTAGTGCTAGTAGATTATCCTGGATCAATAACCTGCGAATCATCACTTTTCCGCTTAGTCTATCCTAGCCATTTTTCCATTTTGAAAATCTAGGTTTGCTTTATTATTTTTCACAAATATTTAAATACACAATATATTATGAGTTTTTCAAAATCAAATGACTTTATTCTGAAATCGTGGAGAAAAGTACGGAATACAAAGCAACAAAAAAAAAAAATACCTGCTGTTACAGAAAGCATCTCAATGAAAAAAAAAATTATTCTAATTGAAAGCAGAGCAATATGCGCCCAGAAAAGGTGGCAACATAAAGTGTCAACATGCTAATAAACCGAACAACTCTAAAAGAATTAATGAGATATTAATATCTTTTTATAGGAATTTACTTTTATTTCCTATTAAATAAAATCAAAAGTCATTTATTCGAACACCCATAATCCGGACCTCAAAGCTACAAACTTTCTGCGCATGCGTCGCGTTGACGCATAGGCGTTTACGCGTGCGCGTAAGACCTTTACGGCTGCGAATATGCGTGTGCGCATGCACGTTTAATGTATAATGAACAGTATAAGCTAAGCTAAAATTATCAAATTCAGTTAATGTTGCAGATTACGTTGTTCCTTAATCTTCGAATTGGATCCGGCTTATTATTTTTTGAAGACTGTTAGAGCAATTTTATAAAAGTAAGCTTGAACTTTCTATTATGTCAAATAGAATTTCCGATATATATTTACTAGTATGTAAAGGATCTACAAAGCGAAAGTATGATTTGAAATCCGAAATCTGTTTATCAATTTCATGCTGCTCTGCGGAAGGGGGAGGAAACGCAGCGGGGTGCAATGAATTCGAAGTTGATCTGTCAGCACTATCCTTATCTTCAGGACAGATGTTTTTATTTTGTTTGGCTTATAATTCCTTACTAAAATGTAGTATTTCATCTCAATGTACTCCGTCTTTGATATGATTTAAATCAAGTTCCTCGTCATTATAATTCGCTTCCGATAGTGAAGAAAGTGACACAGAGGTTATTGAAAACGAAAAAATTTCGATTGACAAATTAGTCGGTATTCTCGACACAGCAATTATAGGACTTGAACAGTGGAACTTTGTAACTAAACAAGAAATTATGTCTGTTTAATATAATTAAAGAGAAAGTATTATCACATGAAACGAAGCAACTTAAACAACTTACATTGAAAGAAATGTTTAGTAAAGTAAACAAATAAATATTAAGCTTTTTCTTTTTGTAAATTTTGATACTCTTTAGATCGTAATTGTTCTTTATTTCATAAATTACGGCTTCATATTTTTAATTTTGTAATTTCTGCATGCCATCTTACCAGATTTAAACTGATGATCTATAATCCGGAAAAATCGATAATCCGGAATCGCTGAAGTCCCGACGAGTCCAGATTAACGACTTTTGACTGTACAACATCCATTTCTATAACTTCTTTTAAAATAATCATTTAGGACAAATTTGTTATGTGTATGGCTAAAAGAATATTTTGTAAAAATAAAAACGGATTTTGTTAAAGTCTACGAGCGGCTATTGAGCCTGAACAAAGTTCAGGTTGCATAAATTTATGAGTGTTAGAAGAAAAAACTTAAACAGGATGTTGGGGTATTTAATTTTTGAATTTAATAGTTAAAAATACTTTGTTTCTTTCTATACCCCCTATTTTTCTCTTGCATACCACCAGTTGAGAATTGCCGATCTAGACCAATTTTTATGGTAATCAAGCTTTTCGTATTTTATTTTTCATAATAAATATAAATTTATACTAAATATAACTATAGAAGCTCTATAAACTAAGCATAACTATACTAAATCTAAATATAACTATTTGTACTAAATACAAATATAGAAAGAAGACCATATAAAAAGTTCAAGATTTAAAAATTTTTATAAAACTTATTTTTCAAATTTTAAAATATCATAACTGGAACATTTTCTAAAGTAAAGTTTTTTTGTAATTGAAAGTACATATCTACAAGCAACAATTGTGAAAATAAATGATATAGTGGATGGACAAAAATATGGAAACACCTTGTGAAATGCATGTTTGAAAAGAAAGATTGATTTTAATGAAATATGTAGGTGGCGCTGGCGTTTTTGACTACTGACGCCACCTATACAACTTCATAAATGTGCTAAACAGTTCAGTTGTTGTCGGAGTACTGTTATGTGAGGTTGTCATTGCATTATGTCAGAGTTAACAGACTTCGAACGTGGGCAAATTGTTGGAGCATGTATGGTAGGTGCTTCCGTAAGCAAGGTAGCCGAGATGTTTAGTGTTTCAAGAGGTACTGTATCGAAGATTTATTCCGCATATTTGAAAAGCGGAAAAACATCATCTGCTAAATCACAGCGCGGACGAAAGTGTGTCCTGAGTGATCGTGACAGACGATCATTGAGGGCAATTGTGACGAAAGATAAGAAGACCACAGCTGCAAAAGTTACTGCTGAAATGAATGTTGTGTTACCGAACCCTGTGAGTACCAAAACAATTAGAAGGGAGCTCCATAAACAGAGAATTGCTGGCCGTGCTGCAATTGAGAAGCCACTCATCAGTGATGCTAATGCCCGTAACAGGAAAAGGTGGTGTTTAAGTCATAAAGCCTGGACTATAGAGCAGTGGAAGCGAGTAATATGGTCTGACGAGTCTTCTTTCACATTGCTTCCCACTTCTGGCCGAGTTTACGTCTGGAGAACGCCATCTCAAGCCTATAACACAGACTGCTTGTTGCCAAGAGTGAAACATGGCGGGAGTTCTGTTATGGTTACGGCAGCCATATTGTGGTTCTCTGCTATCCCCCATGATAACTGTGTCAGGGCACATGACTGCCAAGACTTATGTGAACATTTTGGCCGATCAAGTTCATCCCATGGTACAAACTTATTCCCCGATGGTGATGGTGTCTTCCAAGACGACCTGCTCACACAGCTCACATTGTCCAGGACTGGTTTTCTGAGCACGAGGATGAGTTGTCCCATCTCCCCTGGCCACCACAGTCACCAGACCTGAATATATCGAACCTTTGTGGTCTACATTGGAACGGAAAGTGCGTTCTCGTTATCCACCGCCAACATCGTTATCTGAACTTGCCACCGTTTTGCAGGAAGAATGGTATAATATTCCCTTGGCAAACATACAGGAACTGTATTTATCCATTCCGAGAACACTGCAAGCTGTTTTGGATGCCAACAGGTTTCCTATACCATATTAAGCAAAGAAACATGTTTTTTTAAAGGTGTTTCCATATTTTAGTCCAACCCCTGCGGCAATGCTATGACTGGCTCAGGCTGTTTCATATTCTACAATGACACCAGTTACTGCCCAAATAAACTGCTCATTTGTATCCAAAATGAAAGTTATGTAAGTGATATGCAAGAAGTGTGTAAGTGATAAGTGAAATCATGCATACTAAAGGTAAACAGTTATACAGGATTCTTCTTTATAGTCAAAAGGATGATATAAAAACATGGTACATTTTACCTTGCCTTGCGCCTTGATTTTCCTTATCATTCATCTCCACATCACTGACTTTCCGACAAATTGTCACTAAAAGAGAGGATAAAAAGGTATTTTATTGATAAAGAAAAGAAAATGCTAAATAAATAATAATTACATAGGTGTTAAAATAATACACATAAAATATTACGTAAATTACTCATTTTTATTCTTTAAGGTAAGTGCTTGTTTAAAAGAAAGTCACTTAATACAACCCAAAAATATTGTTCTTTTACTTTCAAATAAATTACAATTTATATCTGATAATGGAATCAAATCATGATATAACAGGAAATCTGTTAATGGAAAGAAAAAATTTTCATCAAGAAACCAGTGTGTGTGATAAATTCATAGTACCAAAACTATTTTGTCATATATAAAATTCCATATAAACAAGCTTTACTCATGAAAACCTAAAAATAAATTTGCAAGGATAATTACTTCAATAAAAAAATTTATTTCAATATAACACACAACACATTTTCTTCAATGCGATATTTTTCACATAATTACTACATTAACTATTGCATATAACAATTAAAACTGGAACAAATTTCATTAAACTATCTTGTAAAAAAGGCATGTCCAACCCTTGGAATGGATTATTTGGTTCACAGCTACCTCAGGGAAGAAATGACTTCAGGAACAACTTCCTAAAGAAAATTCACTTGTAGTCATGTACAGAAAAACTGCAAAAACTCCCATGAAGCTAGCACATTACTGAGATTTGAACTTAAGTTGAACAACCAGTGTTGCTCACCTACTGAATGGTTACCCAACCCTCAGCCCTAGGAGATTACGTTACATGGCTTGTGATCCCAAAGGCACAATTTACAGTGTTTTTTACTGATTATTATAGACTAATGTGGGTGAAACAAATTTTATTTGAAAAATTTTATTTGAATATTTAGGAAAATAATAGTCTCAGTTAACAACTGCATCTTGGAATGCAAAATGTAAAACTTAATTTGACAGGCATATTATGCTCCAGCCAAAACTGATAAATATAAATATGAAATTAGGAAGATGCATTATTTGTGGAATGTAGGCATTCACTAAGAGAAGATTTTCAGAAATTTCAGTCTGAAGGAGTTAAAAAAAAAAAAAAAAAAAAAAAAAAATTGCCCTAAATGGTTTAAGTTTAATATTGTTTGTTAATACAGATTATCAATACAGATGACCCAGGTGAATCAGCAAAACATTTTATAAGATGCTAGATGGATATACATTTAGTTTAACAAGGCCACATTACACATCTTCTTTACTGAGCAAATATATAAATAAAAATTTTTAAAAAATGCATAACACAATTCTACAAAAATACCATTTTTATTTATATCAATTTGATTAAAAAAAAGTAAAATAATAATAAGAAGAAGAACAACATCTATTACTTTTAAATAGCTTTAGTTTGTTAATCAATAACAGACAGATTAAATTTTGCCAAATGTCAATCGACTATAATGAAAAGTGAAATAACACACTTACAGTGGGCAATATTTAAAATGAATCAATGCAAAATTATGTTTTGAAAGTAACAGCACATATGGGCTTTAAAAAAAAATTGTAAAGGAAAGAAAAAAACTACCATATCTTGAAAGTTGGTACAATCAGAAACACAAAAATGCACACACATATAATTTTTCATTAAAATAAACAAGTACATCATATTATTTGAGTACATTCTCCTTGCAACTTTATAAATTCAGGTCTGATAACACTGACCAGCATGCTCTAGTATTTTAAAAATGCTGGCATATCAAGAATTCCATACAAAAGTAATTAATCAATAAAATTTAAAAAGCAAGAAACATCGAGAATAAAAAATTTATTTATTTATTTAGAAATCTTTCAGTAATTTTTTTACATGTTTGTTCTCTCCGTGTATGTGGCAAATCTATTTTTGTTTAAAAATATCAGAGAATTGCTCAAACTCAGCATTATACAATAACCAAAACAGACATGTGCTATGTGTATACCTCGGTTACCACATAAATGCTTTTTGGTGATATCTTCAGTTGCCGCAGAACTATTTTGGCTACATACTACATTGCCACATGAATGCTTTTTTTTCAAAGTTTCAACAAGGATGTGTAAGATCAGAAAGTACCAAAATCTTTTACATTTACTTGCAATAAATCATAATAATATAGTTATAAATCATTATGTTAATTCAATAAGCAGTATTCCCATTGTTGTTAACACAGAATATATTTATTAACTGTAATAGTAACAAATGAAATCATATTAAAGTATGCAAATTTTTGTGTTTTAAAGCACTTGATTCATCAATCGCCAAGCTTCTGCTCTCAACTTGCTTGGTAAGTAGCTATGGTAGTACTTCAAAAAGCATTTATAATCAGTCAAGCAATATAACAGTTTTGTGTAGAACTAAAATTTATTTGTAAAATAAAAGACTGTTTCCTCTTCTCCTACTAGATCATTTACACTAGGCTTGTGAATGATAAGCTTTAATTAAGTTTTCTTTTCTCCAAGTTCAAGGTATTTGACCATTTTAATGGCTAAATACAGCTTCAATTATGCAAATGAAGTGGAAGACAGCATTGTTGTGAAAATTTTAGTATGTCTAATTATTTTACTTCTTCAAAGTAGGTAGTTCAATGGCCTTATTTTTGAAAAATGGTTTAATTTCTATATAACAGACATGATTAGTAAGTTTTCAAAAATATGTCATGTATTTTTTCAGTTTATATATGAGTTGCTGAAACTGCAGATTACCTTTTTAAAATGATTAACAAATTTTTCCAAATCATCTTCAGAAATATTTTAATTTTCTTCATGTCTTTATTAAAATTTTATAAAACATTTTAAATTCATGCTTATTCTTAAAGTAATATAATTCAAGACACAAAAGAGCAATTGTCATTTTTATAGTTCTTCAGAGCCCCAGGCTTGGCAACTTTTTCCAACCTGCTACTTTGTAAAGAAATTTTGAGATTCAGGTAATTTAGGTTGTGACTTGCTAGCAAGTAATACCATGAAAAATTCAACAATGAGAGGAAGATTGTATTTTGATAACTTGCAGGTAATTACTTTCATATTTTGATATCACATATACCAGTAAATACGTGGAAACAAAATATACAAAAAGCTACTTCTCATAGCAAACAATGAAAATTTTAATTATTTTAGTACAGTAATTTTTACTTTGTTCATATTTTTACCTGCAGCATTTTTTTAAATTTTAGTAATGTAATAAATTATTATTTTGTTCTTACTTCTCTTTAAATATTTAAAATCAAATATATAATATTTAATCTTTGTCATCTTTCTGATAAGTGCAATTTTTTTTTTTTTTTAAATCAGAAATTCATTCAATCCTCTTTTTTGATACCACACATTCTTAAACACTAGTCAACTTACAAGCTTTTGTTGCTTAAAATTTTAAAGAGCTACAGTAATTAAGGATCGTAATATTACAGCTTTATTGAGATCCACCTAAATTTCATTTAAAATTTCCACTGGGAATAAACTTGTAAATGTAAATTTTGATACCCGAGTTTATTAAAAACATGTAATACAATTCTGATATATAACAAAATCTAATTGATGATGAAATCTAATTGATGCTGTAATCAAAAATAAAGGGTACCCTACTAAGTACTGATAACTCACTTCAACTATCACTATCTAATGTATATCGATAACTATTATCGTTTAACTTTTTGTGTATTGCAAATAATTGAATTTTGTGTTTTGTATTGAATCCAGTAATAAATTATCTTTAAAATGATGTATACAAGTTTGTTTTTTCACTTAGTTACTCTTTTACAGATAAAGCTTATGACTCTGCTCAAGGGTAAGTTTGATATCATAGAAAGCCACGAGTGCTCGAGTTCATGCACGTCTCTCCAATCTGTATGAAGAAATTAATCCAATTGCTATTACATTATATTATACAGATCATGCTTATTTTGACATAGTCAAATAAATTTATTACAATCCCAATAACAATTTCAATTGCATTAATGCTCTTTCCACTTTAAAGAGAAAAGAAAGAGAGAAATTATATAATAAAATTAGAGAAATAACAGGCAGATATTAATATTCGACTTTATAATGGATACCCATGTCATTACATTTTTCACAGTTAGCTATTTTTTACTACTCATAGATAAACTCTCAGATGTACTAGGAAATATCTGGCAAAGAGAATTGTATCAAAATTAATTGTATTACTTAAGCAAAATACTACTTTAGGGTGATATTAATTACGAGTAATTGAGGATATACAGTGGTGGCCAAAATTGTGGACACTTTTGGAAATTTTTATGTTTTTGAACTTTCTATGCTTATAGAAAATGTTACGTTTCTCAAAATGCAAACTTGTATATATCATTTTAAAGAGAATTGATTACTGAATTCAATACAAAACACAAAATTCAATTATTTGCAATACAAAAAAGTTATATGAACTTTATATAAAAAAAATATAAAATAATATAAATAAAAAACATATATGTAATATATAATAAAAAACACAGTTATGAAGTGGTTTGTAATGTCTAGCTTTCCTTTCCAATCACTGTTATTGTTCTGAGAACCAATCAAATGTTAGTAACTGCCAACAGAAGCTGACATCATGTCTACACTTGAAACAATTCATTATTTTTGCTTATAGAGACCTGTTCTGTAGAAGGAGGACCTGTTTCTTATACACTGCAATTACAAGTAGGAATTTTTGTAAAAAATTTTAATATTTAGTCAAGAAGCAATGACATCAAATAAAAGAGTAGATTGGACACCTAGAAAGAGATGTAATATTATTGTTTTACGAGAAAGTGGTCTTTCCTAAGCTGAAATTGCAAGACAGGTGGGTGCAGTGACTACATCTGGAGCCCGAAAGTTTTGTTTACGATATCAGGAGACAAATTCAATAAAAAACAAAGAAGGAAAAGGCCGATAAAGGTGCACCACATCTATTGATGACAGAAGAATAGAAAGAGTATGCCTCCAAGATAGAAAATGTCATCAGCGGCCATCAGAAGTGATCTGAATGATGCTGATGTTTCTGTCAGTTCAAGTACA